CGGACCATGTGTTAGGGGCAGAAAAATGGCCGCAGACCACGTGTCAGGGGCGGAAAAATGGCCACGGACCATGTGTTAGGGGCAGAAAAATGGCCGCAGACCACGTGTCAGGGGCGGAAAAATGGCCACGGACCACGTGTCAGGGGCGGCAAAATGGCCGCGGACCACGTGTCGGGGGTGGAAAAATGGCCGCGGACCACGTGTCGGGGGTGGAAAAATGGCCGCGGACCACGTGTCGGGGGTGGAAAAATGGCCGCGGACCACGTGTCGGGGGTGGAAAAATGGCCGCGGACCACGTGTCGGGGGTGGAAAAATGGCCGCGGACCACGTGTCGGGGGTGGAAAAATGGCCGCGGACCGTGTCATGGGAGGGAAAATGGCCACGGCTCTGGTTCGTAACCCGAGGCGGAGTTCGCAAACCGAGGTAAATTTTTGCGGCCGGAGCTGGTCGTAACCCGAAAAGTTCGTTAACGGAGGCGTTCGTAACCCGAGGTTCCACTGTATTATAATGGTAACTATTTACTTTGCCTATGTTTAGCTGCTCTTGTTCACACATTACACTAAGGCATAATGTGCTTTGTCTGGCTTTGGCCCAACATGATGTGTGAGCCCCACCATTGTAATTTCTAGACCATAGTTTATGACTTAGCACATTAGGTGAAATCCAGTAAATTATGGTACATTTAGTAAACCAGGGTTAAGCAAAACTGGTTTATTGTGATATGTGAATTCAGTAATTTTTTTAAGAATGGCTTTCCCAAAGCTAAATGATATCTCCTCCACTTATGGAGTCAATGCCTACATGAGTGCATGCACACACACACACACACACACACACACACTACACTGCTTTGTACTTTATTTTGTGAACTGACATTTTATTTTGCCTTGTTCTGCATAATAAGACTGTCAGAAGCACCATTTTTTATACAGTGATGGGGTGAGAAACTACATTACAATCTTCTAAAGGGGTGAAATTTAAGCATAAAATGTGCCTACACATACACACAAATAAATAAATAAAATTAAAAACCAAAACCAGAATCAAGCACAGCCAAGATTATGTTATCATTGCCCCATAGAACTCATATCCAGCTTCATCCAACAGGATGATTGGAAGGTGAATAATGCAGAGTGCATAGATTAATACACCTGAAGGGTAACAAGCTGGGAAAAGATGATCACCTATATTCTGACTGAAGGGCATCATAAGGTACTGAAAAGTTTATATAACAGTCTGTGAAGGAATATGAGACAGAACTTCTGCATGGCGGTGACAACCCCTGCTCCTTTGACTTGTGGTTTGCGCTTTTTAAATGGACATGTGACTATCTCTCCCCTGCCCCCAAAACTGAGATAGACATTTCCATTTTTCAAGCAAAAAAAAAAAGCAGCTCTCAAAAATCCAGGTTTTCTGATGAACTATCCCAAAACTTGAAACACAAGGATTAAAGCAACTAATGCAGAAATATTTCGGACATGTGACTATCTCTCCCCTGCCCCCAAAACTGAGATAGACATTTCCATTTTTCAAGCAAAAAAAAAAAGCAGCTCTCAAAAATCCAGCTTCTGAATCAGCTTTTGAGTCCTGTACATAACAATTCCTCCATCCCTGTTCTTTCTGTAAATGACCTTTCCATGAAGTTCACCATTTGTCCTACCTCAGAGTTCACCAGTTAGTAAGCAGAAGAGGGTACCATACCGTTTGATTTCATTTGAATTAGTCTGCACTTCCTTCAAGGAGGTATCAAATTTCAGATTGGTACGGTAGCTCTGATCCACGCTGAAGATCTGGAAAAGGAGAGAAATGATCATTCTCAGAGATCAGACATTATGAAAACTCTGTGGATGGAAGCTGGCCAGGAGAGAAAACAAACTTACATCCAATGATGTGAAGTTGCTTCGTGCTTGAGTCCCATTGTCTTTGGCTTCCACTCTCACTTGATATCGACCCTTCAAAACGCTGTTGAGGTTGCTTGCAATTCTGCAGGACAGAACATGCTGCAGCATCAGAGATGCATGTTCTGGTTCCCACTCTGCACTACCCTGAAACAGACTTGCCCAATCCCTTCTCCATCTTGAAATATTTCTGCATTAGTTGCTTTAATCCTTGTGTTTCAAGTTTTGGGATAGTTCATCAGAAAACCAAATAAAGCATATACTAAACTGGAATCTTTATTGTAGCATCAGAAAAGAGTTGGATGTTACCAAAGACAACATCACAATTGTATCCTGTTGTTAACATTTCAATCATTTAGAAACTTGTTTTTCAGAAAATGATAGAGTAGACTAAAATGAGATTGTGTAAGATGCATTCCAGGGTGTTATGAGAACCCAGCCATTGGTGTTGCATGTTGTGTGAGCCAGATTATCCTATTAAACCATAATGTGGCTTATTATTGGGGAATAGTATGCTATGTGAACACAGTGATTGCAGTTTGCTAATCTGGGTTTAGCATGTTGTGTTAACTACATCCAGAGGGTCACTCAGCATTTATGACAGCCTCTCCTAATCATCTCAGTAGCAGCGTAATACAACACATCTGGGGCGCACCAAACTGAGGTTGTTCTGTGAAACCCAGGATCAGCAGGCCCACTGAAAACATTAAGCCCCAATTAGCTAAGCCATTATCTGAAAGTTCTACTCCTATTTAGCTGCTTCTATATGTGCTAGAAAGCAAAGCTCTCCTTCTCCCTGCCCAATTAGTGACCTCCAATGAGCCCTATGGGTATGTTCAAAGTATGTGCGTGGAAATAAAGCACTGCGGCAATATATTGATGCAAAAGCCAGCTTTACCCCCGTGTCTCATCTCCTTGTCTTGCAATGCCCCTTGGGTTAAAGAGCTCTATTAAACATATCTATCCAAATATCCTCATGATCTTACTGATCAATACAAGGAGGTCAAGGATGGGGTTGTTAGCATGTGTGCCCTGCATTTACTTAATGTGAACAGGACTGTAAGATAATATTCTCAAAGCTTTCAGGGAAGAGAACTCCATCACTTACTGGATGGTTCCAACAGAGACACCTTTCTCTGTTGTTTTTGCCACTTTGAAAAGATCATAAAACGTCTGGTCCTGTCCATCGTCCTGGATGAAAACTACCCCAGAGATGCTAAATGTGATCACACCATTTTCATCTGAATCAGCATCTTTGGCCTGGAAGGGTGAAAGGAATATTGATGGACTTTGAAATATTATCAGCCCCTGTTGCATAGTTTGTGAGTACCAAGTTTAATTCCTAAAAAAAGCATGAAATCTGTGCCACCAAATGGACATACTGTACAGTCTTACCTTGACCACAGCCACTGGCAGGTCTATTGGAGAGATTTCTGGGATTATTACTGCAATGAAATACCAGATACAGATCAGTGAACCCCATCAGCAAAACACAATGGGTTTTGTTCTCTTGTAAGGCTCACTACCAAATCACATTATAATGGGGCTGTTGCCTTCTGCTCCCAAGCACGTGCTCTACCAACACCCATTGCCTGGCTGTCCAATATGGTGTTCCTCTGCCTATTCAGAAAGCTGAACGTCCCCCTTACGGTTGGCTAACGGAAAGAGGAATGCATATGTGGAGGAGGTCAACCTTGCAGTGAAAGGAGAGGCTTTCTGAGATCTGCAATCAGTTATGATCTCACAGAGATGGATGTCCCTGCAACTGAGTCAATTTGCACAGGGTAAAGTGAATAAAGCACCCTTAAATGAATCTGACATACCACCCCTCATCCATTAGGGGGCAGTAAATTGTCCTGCGATTCTGCTCTTACCAAAGGTGTCATCAACAGGAAGAAACTGGGGTGCGTTGTCATTTGCATCAGCTATCAAGATTATCAGGGTCTCTGCAAAAAAGCCACAAGTAAACAGACTCTAGTCACTGATCAAAACAGTTCTGAATGCCTTCATGGAGACTGCACAATGGAGTCATAAACCAGTTCTGCTCACATTTCCCATGAATAGCACATGTTGTTTCCTTGTTTATATAAAATATCCCAGTGTTAGTGCTGATATTTCTATTCTAGAGGAGTGAGAAGCCTCCATTTGTGAAGTTGTTAGGATCAGATGATCTGTGGTTGTACTTCTTTTTTGTAGCCACCTTTCTACGAGACAAATAGGACCGTGGCAATACCCTGAGATAAAGAAACAAGTTGTGGCATTAAGCCCACTGGCACACAACCATCTACACCAAACTGCGATTACATCAAAATGATGACATGAGCGTGATGATGTCATCATGCAAATTTTGCTCTTACATTCTTGCAGCCCAACATGTGATACAATTACTTAAGACACAGTTTTGAACTGTGATACAGTTTGTCACTTGCTCCCTTTCTCCCGCTGCAGGCACTTATGCACTGGCAGTTTTACCTCTATTCAGCAATGCCAAAGCCACACACAGCAGCCTTCCCCAACATTCAGATGTGCCCGACTACAACTCTCATTAACCCTACCTCACATGGCTAGTACATCTGAAAGGTTATGAAGACAGCTTGAGTGAACAGAAAGAATGAACTCCATCATTCCTTCATGTATATTTTTTCTTGTGGAACACCTTTTCTGTAACTATATTTCTTTTTTTAAAATTAATGTTTATTAAAGAAGCTTTTTTATAAAATAAAAACAGTACATGTTTAAAGAAAAAAGAAAAGTAAGAGAAAAGTGATGAGTAAATAGTAAGAAAGGAAAGAAGGGACAAAAAAAGAGAAAAAGGAAAAAAATATATAAAGTGCTTCCGATCTGCTTCCAATCTCTTTATAGCAGTTATAAATACATTTCTATTTTATCCTCTCTCTTTAAGGTTACATCATGGTTCCCTTCTTTCCACATTCTACTCATTCTAGTGACCAAACCCATACATCATAAGTTCATTTTTTTCTGTTTTCAGCAAAAACTCCATAAAGTGTTTCCAGTCAAATTTCTCTAATCAAACAAGTCAATTTTGCCATCTCTGCAAATTTGGTCATCTTCACCAACCATTCCTCCATTGTGGGTATTTCAGAGTCTTTCCATCTCCATGCATATATATAACAATATTTCTTCTAGTTGGGTTCTGTAACCCAGGGGTTGGGTCTCTATGGTGCTGTCCAATGCTATGATTCCAAGTATTCCCCTTTCAGGAGACTTGTTGCAGGTAAGTGAGGTGGCAAGAGGAAGAAGTGCAGGTGCAGAGAGTTCAACTTCCTCTTCCATGTTATTCTTTATCTCCCTAACCATTTGTAGGTCATCAGCACAATACAGGACGGGCTGTGCTATCAATCGCACCCATATGACAAACTGCAATGCTAGCAACCTCTTTTGTGATCAGCTATTCCCCAGGGGAATCAGGTACCAGTGACAGTTTTGATACTTGTTATTTTTCTAGATGATATCCTTTGCCTCTAAGGGATGCTAGGAATGGAACACGTAGTTATTATAAACACTTAAATTACCCCCGTGGAATTAAAAAATCTAGTAGTAAAGGAAAAGTAGGACAGATAGAGGAAGGGTATATAGCTCACAGGACAGAGAAAGTGTGAAAGCAAGTGTTCCTTCAGGCTCCTTACCATTTCTACTGTAAGGGTCTCCTACTGCAGTGAACTCATCCTTAACACGCAGCGTGATTTCCACTTGGGTGCACAGTTCATAGTCTATATCTGGACTATTCACAAAAAGTGATCCATTGGCTGTCAGGCGGAACCAGTGCTGACATATATTGCCTGCACTGCCTGAGCTGTTGAAACATGCAACAGCCAACTCCTGGAAGACTAATGAGTGGTTGGTGTCTTTATCAGTAGCCTTTAGCACAGCTACTAATGTATGTAGTTTCTCATTCTCTATAACATTAATGTTTTGTGGTGGAGATGGTACAATGGTTGGGGACTCATCATTGACATCCAGCACATACACCCTCACCATGGCAATAGCGACCTCCACTGTTCCCCCAAAGTCTGAATTTTCAGCCCGTACAATCAGATTGAAGAACTTCTCCTGCATTTGGTCATAGTCAAGAGCAATGTCTGGGTCTAGGTACAACATCCCCTGATACCAGCCAGATCCCTGGGCACTGGAGCGAATCAGGAAGTTGTTTGAGCCTACACTGCTATTAATGTAGAATGAGATACGGTTGTTAATTTGTGTTTGATCAGCATCTCTGGCTTCCACATCTCCCACAGAGATACCTGAGATAGAATTGGAATATCAAAATTAGAATAATTGTAGAGTTAAACATATTCCACCCTTCTCCACCCAGATCATAATAGTAGAGCTCTACAGTTTCTTTATGAATGGCAATGCCACCAATCAAGCAAATGCTATCCTATGCTTTCAGGTTTTTAAAAGATTTTTTTTATCCCGCCTTTCTTATTTTTATGAATAACTCAAGGCGGTGAACATACCTAATACTCCTTCTTCCTCCTATTTTCCCCACAACAACCCTGTGAGGTGAGTTGGGCTGAGAGAGAATGACTGGCCCAAAGTCACCCGGCTGCTTTCATGCCTAAGGCAGGACTAGAACTCAGCAGTCTCCTGGTTTCTAGCCTGGAGCCTTAACCACTAGACCAAACTGGCTCTCTTTCATACAGTTTCAGTTTCATGCACTGCTAAGCATTCCCAATACTGGTTCTCAAGAATCCTTTCATGCACTATTTTAGGTGATTTAAACTGCCTCTCAGATTGGCATTGAAGATGCCAGTTATAATCTTATAAGCCACAAATGACTTGGTTTGCACATGTTGTCAAACAACTATGTTTTGCTTAACCCTTGACTGGGTTCATAAAGCCCACCAAGCCTCTTTGGGCATGATTGAGAAAAGTGACAACACTCTTGTCTGCCATTTTGTAGTGGAAAACACATGAAAATTGTAGTGCAGACCCTTTAATAGCAAATCACAGGCTAAAAAATAAAAATCTTAAGATCCCTCCCCAGACCCTCTCATATGTGTAATGTGGCCTTATCTGTCCACTTTGCAACCTATGTTAAATGCAGCTCATGGCCACCAAGTTTTCTTAACCTTGCAGTAAAATATGAATTAGTAATTTGCAGTTCTCACTACATGCTAAAGCAAAACCAAACAAACCACACTTTGTTATAGCACAACCTATACAGTATGTGTAATGAAGCTCTGTTAATCATCTTGTCCCTTAAAATGTGTACAGATCCATGCTGGATGCCATATATTAAAACTCTGGGTAAATTTTAGAAGAATATCATCTGTCCAGAACTCCCTCCTTCAATGAAGGCAAATAAATAAGATTAGTTTAGAAAGGCCTGGAAGATTTTCCTCTCCCAAAGACTATCAAGATAATGGAATCTATGAATGCTGGTCCTCGTGGCTATATATTGCCTGCAATTTCAAGCAGGGTGCTTCTTATAATAGCTGTCTGGGAACCAGAGCAAGAGAGCACTATTGCATCATGTCCAACTTCTGGTCTTGTTATAGACATCTGATTGGTGATTGTAGGAAAAGAATGCTCAACTAGCCTAGCTTTTCATCTGATCCAGTAGAGCTCTGTAGCTGGTCTGTTTAGCTCCTCACTTGGATTTTTTTTAGAATGCAGTAACTAGGATTTTTGCATCAGGCTACCCTCCAAGATATTTTCTAGTTTCTAGTTTCATTTCTAGCCCAGACTAAAGAGATGCAGTGAATCATACCTTGCAAGCCTTCAGGAACAAAGAACTCATAATTTGAACTGTTGAATCTGGGTGCATTGTCATTTCTGTCCTAGGGAGAGAAGAAGTGCTTACAATAATACCATCCTATGTCTAAGATTGCATTGGGCATTCTGGCAGCAGTACAGGAAGAAAAATAGGGGAGGGGGATCGTTATAGCACATAAAATGATAGATATAATGTTAAATTTGAAACCCTATTACCAAGGTTATCCAACTGCAAAATAAAAGCAAATTCCATTTTTGGAGTGTTTTACACATGCTTCCTTCTCCACTAAGCATCTTACCTAAATAGAATTTTAGTTTTGCATTAGTCACAATCTCTTTCTCCAAGCATCTTAGCTCAAACTCAAAGAGTAGTAGGATTACCTCCACAGTGAAGGTGACATTGACAGTGGTGTTCAACTGAGGGGTCCCCAAGTCTTGTACAAGTACTGTCAGCACTATCTTCCCATTGAGCTCCACAGGAATAGCTTCTCGGTCCAAGGGCCCTTTGCTGACTAGCAGTCCAGTATCTGGGTTAATAGTGAAGTTGTTGCTGAACTTGCCAGGCATAATTTCATAATGCAAGTTGCTATTATTCGTGTCTGGTTTATCCTGATCAGTGGCCTGGGAAGAGAATTGAAGAAAATTATTCTTACTCTTACTTCTTACTATTCCTTGTTTCAGTCAATATTAGGAGTAAGATCAAACTTCCCCAACTGGATGATTTTTAGATGCATTTGGTCACCCAGCACAGCCAATGAAATAGCAGAAATAGGAACCCAACATGTCAAGAAACTACCAGATTAGTTTCTTAGAATATTTCCTAGATTAGAATTAATTAGATTAGAATTTCTTAGATTAGGTTGTTTTACACTGAGATGAAGACCAATTATCCCATATTTGCTTTGCATGGTAGGTCCCCATATTTTTCTATGGCAGATCTATATAAGTTTGAGGGTTTTATTGGTCTTAGACTTCTCACTCTAAACTGCAGCGCTTTGGTCTCTCTGGGAGAGACCATCCAACTACTAATCAGGTCTGATTCTGCTTAACATTTTTTAGATCAGCCAAGATCACTACTACCTGCTGTGACAATTTCAGGGGCCAAGATGGAAATAGCTGGGTACTTTTTAACTCCTTTTACCAGAACTCATGAGTTACTGCTTGCACAGACCTTAAAGAGGACTAGACTGGACATCCAGGCCTTGAAGAGGCCATAGCCTGACTCACATGGTGTACTAAGCCATGATGTGAGTGTTTTGGTTTTGGCTTGGTATATTGTGAGAACTAAGCCAATTATGGTTCATACAATAAGCCATGGTTAAATAAGCGATGTCTTAACATGATGTGTGACCCCAGCCACAAAAGTCAAAGTATGTTCCAAGTCAGTTCAATGTGTGGATACAATGCATGAATATCATGCAACTTTATCAGAAAGTGCCTGACCACTCAACCCACTACAGCACATCCAACACAAACTATGAAAAGGATAACCCTGCCATCAAAAACATCTCAGAAACAACCAACAGACTATTACAATCACATGGCTTCACATAGCACACAAACCAACTAAAGCCCTCCAAAACATCTTAAGCAAACCAAAAGACCCAGTAGGCTTCACATAGCACACAAACCAACTAAAGCCCTCCAAAACCTCTTAAGCAAACCAAAAGACCCAGTAGCCCAAGAAGAAAAAACAAGAGTCATCGACAACATACAGTGTAAGGCCTGTAACCGCCTCTATGTAGGACAGACGGGCAGAAGACTAGCAGAGTGCATCCATGAACACCAACTAGCAGTCAGAAGACACAATGAAAACTCTTTCATTTCACAGCACATGGAGAGTCTCAAGCACAGTTTCAACTGGGAAACTGTTAGCATCTTAGACCAAGCCAAATTAAAAAATGCTAGGGAATTCCTGGAAGGTTGGCATTCAGATAAATCAGCCACCAATAGACACACAGAGATAAACCATATTTACACCATGCAAAAGAGACAATAAAAAAGCTAGGAAGGAAACAAAAAGACCACAACATATACTCTCCAGCAGCCAACACCCAGGTAAGCAAGGATTAACACCAGATAAACAATCAAGCAGGAAACAATACCCTAATCAAGGAACTACCAAGGAGAAAACCATACCCCTACCAACACTGGCAGGGCAAGCTACTGTATATAAATAGGGAACAAAACCGCCCTAATTCACACTGATGATGTTACCTAGTCAGGTAATGAAATGTCTGCAAGAAAACAACCAAGCTCAAAGAGTATCAAGGACTCGACAAGTCAATACATATCTTAAACAACTGGATATTCCACAACTGTTTAAAACCTGTGCAAAGAAATGGTATGAGTGCTATGGGTTCTTATTTGCATGGAAGGAATTCCTCTTTCTTTTGAGTCCAGAGGTTAAATGACCCATAGCTGTGGCAGTCTGAAGTTCCTGTCTATATCTAGAATGGTTGCAAATGCCATCTTTAAAAAACACAAAAACTCAGAATATCACATTCTGACTCTCCATGGTAATCATATGGCTGTATACAACATACAAAGATAACATACTAAATAATAAATTAGAAAGTCTTACAGTCATAACCTAATTTTGGAGTAGGGCTGGGAAGAAACAGGATAGACACAATTTGATGAAATAATCTCAGTTCCAAAGGTAAACTTTCAAATTTATTATCTATAGTTAAATGATTTCTTCCAAGAAGCAAACTATTGCTTTTTTTTTTTTGCTTGAAAATGCCTATTAGTCTAGTTTGGGAAATGTTCCAGTAGACAAAGGAAGCTGGTATTTTAGCTCTACCTGGATCTGGACATCATCAATGCTGTTGCCCTCAGTGACCATGAAGTTGTAGGAACCTGTCACAACTGGAGGTTTGTTGTTGATGTCAATCACTGTGATCTCCAGCTGGGTAGAACCAATCAGCCCATCACCGTCCACCGCCTGCAAAGTAGCGTAATAGACAGAGCGGATTCCCCATTCTATTTTACTGCCATTGGCCACAAATATTGTACCGTTCATTGCATTCACAGTGAAAGTTGATTGGCTGCAAAACAGACAAACAAGATCACGCCCACTTAGCAAGAGAATGCTGACACCAATCCTTTTTCTGCTCCTCTCTGCTAATTATTGTATATACTTACATGCTGTTAGGGAGTAATTGGTAGGTGATCTCTCCAAACTTTCCACTATCTGGATCAGTGGCCTGCAAAAAAAATTGAAGGAACCATTTGTTTATCATAGGTTCTTCAGGATTTGCAGTCTGCAGCTCAAGAAGGAGAGAGCCAGGATACAAGTAGGTTTCCCTTCTACTAACAAATACTGTAATTGGTTTAAATGGATTAATAGCAGACTTAATGCTAGATCAGTTGTTGCTGGATCTATAGAAGAAAAATTTAAATAGTTCTATGTGCAGGGTGTGAGGAAACAAGGAACATAATATTCTACAGGCACAAAACAGTCATAAAGTCATAGAGAGAATACGTCTTTCTATTCCCATCATCTTTAACACCTGGACTCCAACTAGCCATGGAGCTTTCTTACTGTGATATTAGAAGCTACAATGAAACCAGGTGGACTCTCTTCCAATACGGAAAGCTTGTAGTCACTCTGTTTGAATTCAGGCCTGTGGTCATTGATGTCAAGAAGATGGATGGTCACTGTGGCAAAAGAGCAGCAATCATCTGTCCTTCTGGTGTCATTTGCTACAATCTGTTAGTACACAAAAGCATCAAATTACTAAACTTATCTCATGTATGTTCATCATCAGAAGAGAATTTCCTTCAGGATGAGTCTTGTTGACTCAGGTAGGAACACGACAGGGCCATCAAAACTCCTGCCTGTTGTCTAGCTGCTGTCAGCCCATTGAGATAGGCAAAGTCAAGAAATGGGCACAGCAGAAATGCCAGGAATGCTCTTTATTGTAACTGAATAAAGAATCTGAATCTGAGTCAGGGTTTCTCTCTGCCCCCTTATACCAAACAGAATCAAAGCAGGGTTCTTTTGTGTTTCTTTCTCATGCTTTCTTCTTAAGCAAGTATGAGTAATCTTTAAGTAATCTAAAGTAATCTTTTCTCGACATCTCCGCTTAATGGCTCATTATTCCTTCCCCTTCCCAAGATCAGATCCACATTTCTTGACAGCTGTGGAGAAGGGATAGCCATTTCCTTGGCAGCAGCTGGATGGGGATAGTTTGGCTCCACCGTTGATCCCACAGTACCAGCCACACACTTTCCACACTGAGATCTGAGATCTGCAGAGTATAGAGGCAAATGTGCCAGGATTTCCCCGCTTAGGTCTCCTATAGTAAGGCTATCTAAGGGGTATTTCAGTGCTCAGAGGGAAGAATGTTAAACTGTTGATTTGGAGTACCTCTCAAACAAAGGATCTATTTTTTTTCCCTCTTTTTCTCACCTCCACAGTCATAGTAGTTGTATTTTCATAATCCACAAGGCTTGAGTTACTGACTACCACTTGCACAGTCCCTTCATTTACAATCTGCCTGGGTGACACTGAGAATGCCCGTGCATCAGGACCCTTCAGGAACAGCTGGAAAGTACCATTTTGACCCTATTCAAAAGAGAAGACATGACATTCTAAAGGAAGTGTATGAACCAGGAGAATTGGTTAGTACTAGCCAGGAGGATGAATCCTGATCAGGATTTTTGACAATAGAAAATAGCGGGTAGCAGTGCATTGTCCCCCACCCCCATTAACCTGCAAATGCTCCTGAATTTTCCTGGAGCTGGAAACTTTCAGCTGTAAAACAAGATTTTTGTAACAATCTCCTGTAAAAGAAAATGATCTTGGACTGACACTGACGTATCTCTCAATGTCACATTAAGCACATTAAAATATTTTATCAAATGAGCTGAAATGATTAGATGAACTTTTAGCTTGTGTTCTAAATATGCAAATGAGCATTCAGTAACTATATTTAAGGCAAGGTAAAAGAGAGAAGCTACCGCTGGCAAAAACAGTGAAGGTAACCGAATACTATTTGCCACCTTAGTCAGTACAGGTGATTGATTCCCTTACCATTTAACTGGAACAACCTGACTTCAGCCAACACAGACCTGATACAACAGTGTTGTAAAGTCTTTCCAGCGTGTTGTAAAGTCTTTCCAGCACATTTGCGGGATTATAGTACAGTACTGGCAAATTCAGTGGAATGAAATGGAACATGTTCATAATTCAGAGAAATTGAAGAAGTATGTAGGCTCCACTCCCCAAAACACACACATACACAATTTTCCACTTAAAGGAATTTTTAAAATACCAAGTTTCCTTTAGGTTAAACTCGACTCCTAGTGACTTGATAGACATGTCCTTATGAAGGCTTTTGTGACAACAGGATGGAAATATTTTGCCACTGCTTTCTTCCAAGGTTGTTTTCTTTCTTTCTTTCTAATTTAGTCTACAACATGTTTCATGGTGGTCTTTGATCCAAGTACTAAGCAGGTCCAATCCTGCTTAGCCTAATCCTGTTAGGTGCTGCCACCTAGCTGGTCAAAAGAATTTAAAGCTTGACCAAAATTATGATGAAACTTTGTTCTGCCTTTAGCCCAAATTCAAGGTCCTAGTCTTCAGTGAATGAAGCAGCAGGTTAGGTTTCCCAGCTGGGCAATCATATCGTGCCTTCTTCTGAGCTGTTGTCTTTTTATTCTAGCTTTGCATCCACCACGTGAAGATGCCTAATCAATCCACTGTTATGTAGCAGTTAAGGTGTTGGACTAGAACTGGAAAGACCCAGGATATGTCTACCCTCAGCCATGGAAAGTCACTGAGTGACTTGGGAACCAGATGGCCACTCTCAGCCCAATCTACCTTGCAGGGTTGTTGTTGTGGGGATAAACTACAGTATAGGAGTCCACCATGTAAGAAACCTTGAGCACCTGAAGGAAAGGCAAAATAAAAAGCTAACAAAATCCTCACACACTCACCTTGTCAGGATCATAGGCCACAATACTGAGGTTGGCCACAGGTGTTCTGGCAGAAGCATGTTCCTCAATCTGACCAGAAAAATTGTCCTCTGTAGGACCTGTGAAGTTGCAGGTAGGACCCGTGCATAAATAAAACTGAGGTTTGTTGTCATTGATATCAGTGATATGGATGGTCACCTGGGTGCTCACTTGTGCCGTTTGATTGTAAATGTCCAGATTTCTTTCTTGAGCCTGTCCATTGAAGCAAAAGAGATCAACTGAGGCCTCTGACAAAAAGTGAGGATTGGGGAGAACACAGACTGACCATTCCCCAAGACTGCTCTGTTACTCACAATAATCTGAAACTGCACCTCTTCACTTGGCATACCCTCTCGGTCCAGGTTACCACTCACAGTGATGACTCCTGTGGTCTGATTCACTATAAACAGTCTGGTGGCATCTGGAGAGGGAGACAAGCCATCCTATTAGCAGAGTTGGAGAAGTAACACTTCACTAAGGATGGCCATTGTGTTTGGCTTTTAATTTGGACCTCAGGAAAGGGGTATGTTTTTGTATAAGAACAATTCTCTAACCGCTTGGCCTGTTGTAGGCCCTCAAGCAGGTCCTCTGTCATCTTTTTCCTCCAGCTCTTGGGAAGGAGAAGCAAGAAAAAGTTTAAGACAGCAGTTGTCCAACAGAGTCAAGATTTGGTGATGGGACAATTTCCAGAACTGTCCACTGCATGGATAGGCAGTGTAATGGCCTCCAGAAGTTGTGGATTCCAGGCCATGCTGGCTGGGATAATGGGAATCTAAGTTCAAAATACATAAAAGGCACTATCTGACTATAGGAAAAGGTCTAAAGCAATGGAGTTCAATCACACAACAAGGAAGCCAGGAAGACATCTTGGGAAGAATGTGATAGGAGAGCCAGGCTTGCTGTTGTAACATGTCAGAAGAGTAATGAACATCAACTATGATTTCCTAAGCATAAGGGTGTTGCTAAGTGTTTTCTAGATATAAAGTATCAGTAATAGGAATTATAAAAACTAGAGGCTTATTCATAATTAGTTGCATAGTGCTAAACTACAGGAATCATAACCTTGATCCTGTCTGCACACCTTATATCCCTCCTCCCCCAGTCCCTTTACTCACTGATGATGCTGTAATAGATTATATCGTTCACATCTTTGTCCTTGTCAATGGCCAGCACTGTCATCACAGGGGTACCCTAGAAGGAAGAAAGCCTGAATAAGGTAAGGCATATTTTGTACCCTCACAGTATGTAGAGAAAGAACCTAGTTTGCCAATGTGTTAATCAACCCTTGCAGTTGTGTACAATTCTAGATTTATAAAAAAGAAATTAAAAGGTGAACAACATTCCAACAAGGAGATAAAATAATACTCCATCTAGCTAAATCATTGCTGTTCAGGAAAATTGTTTTAGGTGCTGAAAAGACTATTCTATTTGATCTTTGCAGGACAAGGGGTTATGGAAGAGCCTTCAGAAATCTGCTCCAGCTGTTTTTTTAAAACATTTTGTCAGCATGAAATCATTCATGCATACTTTCATTTAGATTCATATTGGAAACAGACATTGGCGAGATTCTAAGTGTTGTTTATTTATTTATCAAATGTATATAGCATAACATCTGTAAAATGTTCATAACTTACAGATGTTGACAGGTTGGCTTGCAAGAGGGGGAATGAGACCAACCATGTATTCAGTGTGTTCACTTTGGATTACAAAAATTGCTAGAACCAAATGGCTGGTGGAAGATGTTCCTCAAGAGAGGGACACAGTGTAACTGAATCTAAAGAGAAGCAAAGTGAAGATTCAAGAACTCAGAACTGGCTTTTATCACCTGATATAATTACTACCTTCTCTCAAATATGCCTGTCTTTTTTTTTAAAGTATGGTTTTAAAAAGTGACATGATATCGCAACATCCAGTTTTCTTTTAGAAAATCCTCCTCCCTCTCACAGGCTGACCTTGTCAGGATGATATACCACAAAACTAAGCTTAGCAAAAAGTGCTATGTAGTAGTCATTGGAGGTCAACATCCACGGGCTCCTCTGGTGATGATCACAACATATGGAAGACTGTGATGTTCGTATACCTTTGCCTGATATGACATCTGCAATTTATCTTAGAGAATAACGTTCTGACTACAGTAATTCATGCTTTGATGGGCTACCTCTTAAGGTGGTTAAAAACTTCAGGTCCTGCAAAATGAGGTGTACATTATATCAGACTTGGATTAATGTCATTGGCGTTCCAGTAGTTTCCATGCACCAATCAAAACTAGCATGGTGTGGGACTAGGATAAATGAGGTAGCAATGTTCAGCACTTTGGATGCAATGGCAGAAAGGTGTTGGGGGCATGCATATGGCACTCAACTGCCACTCCTTAAAGTGCTTACAACTTTGCTTGAGACTGCTTGGCTGCTCTCAGGGGACACCAATCGCTCCACAGCCCTAATTGGAAGGACCACTTTCCTGCCTATGATTTCTGAGTTTCAAAAAGAACGTCTCCCCACCTATAGACGCTAAGATGGAACCTTCTCAATAGCAATTGTGAGCTTCCTCCTGAGGAATTGCAGATGGATTCCTTGGTTTTGGTTTAGAAGGGCTGGAAATATCTTCAATTTAGTTAGGCTTTCAATATTATGCCTCTCCTTATACTTTAAATTCAATGCCATCCCCAAATTTTACCGTACTCAGCCCACAAATGGATTTAGTAGGAGATTTTGAAGCTTTAAGACTTGAAAGCCAGGGTCAGTTTGATATCAGTATTAAAATGTTCAATAGGCCAGAGCACACCTACCACTCAAAGTTCACCCTTTGGGATTAACTGAGATGGGATCCACGTGATCATATTCTTTTCTTACTTACTCTGCTCAGGCTGTAGGGAAGGACATAGCTTCCCTTTGAGGATATAGGGATAAACCCACGTATGCAAAAAACATGTGAAAGTACACAAAAGGTGATGATATTTCTATGTCTAAGGAAGGTGTTGGGTTTTGTCACTTACGGGTGAGAACATTGAACAAGAAGCCCCTTACCGGAGGGCAGTTCTCTGAGACGGAGGTCACATACGGCTCTCCCAAGAACTGGGGATCCAGATCTGCAACATCAATAACTGTCACAGATAGATAGGCTATGTTGGTCTGGTAGATAAGAGAACCATTCCACAATCCTCCATTGTCCTACAATACACAGAAGCAACCATAAATCATTTGAATTCTCCTTTTACCTACCTATGGTAGCACTGTGATGAAGCCCTGTATTTTGACATAGCCCAAGTGCATCTAGAGCATCTAGGGCTTTGCATTCCCATAAAGAACCCTTGAAAAGCATCTATTCTGAATTTTTTTCTGAATAAATACCCAGATCTAAAGCTCTTCTTTCACAGTATTGCATCAAATTGTAATTGGTTAACTCCTCTGAACAGTAAATTTAGAACTGAGGGTGATGAAGGAAATTTTTAAATGGTTTTCTGATTGCCGAACTAAATCACCGATTTTGGAAATTGATCTTATTACACCACTGGAGAAAAAAAATAATCTAACAGGCTGGCTTTTGCTAGCTTTATATAAATATGGAAGACTTCATCCTTAGTTTGTCTCTTAGAATCATCTAGATCAAGAATTCAAAGATACTCTGTCTCAGATCTTCTTCCCTGGAATAAACCTACCTAGCAAGGCTGTTCAGGTAGGCAACATGACTAGAAAAATTAGTTAACTGATTTTATGTGAAATTTTATATGTATGGGTCTTCTCTGTTTTTTCCCCTTCCTCTTTATTTTTGTTCTCCAAACAAACTTTTAAAAATATATTTGGACATTTGGCTGTAGTGTTTTAAAAAGATGCTTTCTCTAAAACCTTTCCCCTGTGTAGGATATTCCTCCTCTCAAAATGCAGTTTAATTAAAATGCAGCATCTGCCAGATAAACAAACTTTTCCAAATGTAATTGTTATAGAGGTTTGTAAATATCTAAACAATCTAACAAATTGCCTTCCCCAATGCATTATCTACAAATATATTGGTCTAGATTTGTAATCACCCCTGGCCAATGTGAGATAACAATAATTGGGAATCCAACATCTCTGAAAGGTGCTGGGGGGGAGGGAGGACTGAAAGAAGAAATGGATTTTAAAAGGTAAAAAAAACAAAAAGGGCAAGAAAGTTTAAACTGAAGCAGATACAGATAGAGGGATGTTTATTTATAATATAAATTTCATTCCTCTTGGCTTCCTAATCTTTTTCTGAATGCAGATAGTTGAGACTTTTCAAGATCTCCTTTAGTATCGTAGCAATCTGGAACTCGTCAAACAGGCCAGCAGGGAGCAAATCCAGGGCCAATCCCCCACCTAAATATTCCATTATTATCCACAATTTTGTGTCCTTCAAATAGGAGCCATAATATTTTGTGACATAAGGACTGTCACACTGGCTGAGAACCGTGATCTCCTGCTGGATGTCTTCAATTTCATCCTCAGCTTCCTCAAGGTTGATGATTTTAATAACAACCACGTGTTGCATTTGGTTATCGATGCCTTTAAAGACTTCCCCAAAGGACCCCTTCCCAATGTGCTCCAGTTTGGTGAAAAGCTCCTCAGGATCTGCTCTGTGATTCTGCATGCTGGGCCCCTGCATGGCCATCAGTGAGTGGGCCATGGCGGAGATCCTGAGGAGGAGGAGGAAGAGGAAGGGTGGCCTCAGCTGCAACGGGGCCTTTCCACCGCAGCTTCCTAATCTGATTTGGTTAATCCAGCACCTGAACTACACACAGAATGTTGAACAAAACATAGACAATCTCCTCCAGCTCTTGCCCTAGTATTAGCCAAACCATATCCCCATAAACCTGCTCAAGCCATACAAGGGAGAGGGAAATATTCATGCCAGGGCCCCCTACCTGGTCTTCACCAGATATGTTGGGACTACAACCCCATGCTACATGTGAATTCTAGGAGTTGCAGTCTTAGCACACTTAAAGGCTAAGCCAATACAAATCCTTCCTTAATGAATCCAGTTGAAAGCCACTGCACACAAGGGCCCTATTTGTGGCAATTAGGCACGCCCTGTTTTTCTCCTCCACAGAAAGGAGGAGATTATCATCCCTTCCCTCCCTCTGAATCTTCCTTGTTTATCTTCAGCTGAGCCTCACCGAAGCTAAGATCTTGATTCGATAGAAAGTGCTCTTGTTGTTGTAACTGAGTGAGCCATTCAACACCACAGTGCCATTTTGCAGAATGTTAAAAAGCTGATGATTCTCTGCATTGTCTGGAATGACCTGTAAATGAGTCATATGGTAGAAACATGAACAGTGACAAAACACAAGACTTTGCCTTGAATAAAATAAACATTCCTCAAGGATGACTTTGTGGCAAGTCCTGGAGATGTTATAAATCAGCTGATGGGGAAAAAGTATATCTATTTATAACATACAGGCTCAGCCAATAAAGTAACCCTCACCAGTGGTCACATAAATTCTCAGCTTATGTGTACATAAGTAGAAATCTGATTTTGTTTTACTGTCTGCATTAGCAGGACAGTCATATGTTTCATCAAGATTCTGTTTACAATTTTAAAAAGTTACAATCTTTAAATATCTGCATACATTTTCATTTCCAACTAACTTTTGGAATTCTTGTTCTGTTTGTAACTTCTTTTGAGTTCCATTTTTGGTAATGCAAATTCCCAGAGAAATATTAGCCCAAATTTCTCCAACAGGATTATATACATTATGTAAATTATCCTGATGTCTTTAAATGTCCTTGAGGTAAGCATTTTCTAAAATTGTACCTACACTTTTTCGCATAGAAGTCTCAGAAACATACATTCTTTTTCAGATGCATTTCTTAAAAAGAAATGTGCACTTTTTCTTCAGCTTTTTTAATCTCAGAAAGATGGCTGCAATGGCTTTATATAGTGCTGACATTCATGCCATGTGCATGGAATTTTAGATAAAATTCCGAAGTCTGCTGTCTGAGAGAAGTCATTCTACTGTATTAAATGGGGAAATTCATAATCCTAAGGAGGTATTTTGCACAAGTGCCATTGGGCAGGCATTACTTAGAACATATTCAAAATGCCAGCATTAGGACACTCACCCCTATAATTTCATAGGATACCCATCCAGCATTATCACTGTCACTGTCCAAGGCTGTCACATTATAGATTGCAGTGCCATTTTTGGTATTCTGGAACAAAAAAAATTAATCAGTTTGCAGACTTGAGGTTGGGGTAGAGAGAAGGAAGAGCAACAGAAGCTATAACATCCAAAGCTAATATACAAACCTCACTAACACAGCTGCACACACTTTGCAAATGATTCTGAACAACTGCTTTGGACCTCACACAAGGGCAGCACTTCTCTGCATTGATTAATGTTGTCCAACTATTTTCATGCTTCAGTGTGAACCTGAAAAAGGTACCACTGCTTGAAGCACAGCATTAACAAGTGGATTAAAGTAGTGGCACCATTTTAAAGTAGTGGCACCATTTTTTTCCAGGCAGAAGCCTGAAAACAGTTGAGCTGCTTTAATCAGTAGCGAAGAGGTGCTGCAAAGTCCAAAGTACTTCATCTGAAATGTCCATAGTCCTACCCAATAATTCTCTGATTCTGATAAGGTAAGTTCCTTAGTCATTTGAACAAAATGAGTGGCAACACTAGAAGTTATGGTATCTTCAGCAGCTTTTTCCATGTATGCCAGTCATGGTGCCCTGCAGGTGTGATGAACTACAACCTACAGAAATCTCAGCCAGGAGGCAACTGAGGAGCTGTAGCCCATTAATTCTGAAGGGCAGAAGCTTGAGTAATGTAGGATTATTTCCCTGGGGCGTTAGCACACACTACATGGGGGCTAACATGACATTCTGTATCTCAGGCAGCAAATCCACCCCTGATGCTGAAGAAAGCAAGCATCTTTCTTCTGTCCCTTGGATTCATTACTTTCAAAGAGCATTCAGGTTTAGTTAACCTAACATGCAAAGGCTGGCGTACTACATTTTGAAGTAAACTTGAAATAACATCTAAGGAATGAGGCAAGATCAAAATGTCTGAGGATAAGGGCCTAATTATTAATTATGTTTAAATTACAGTGCACAAAATAATGTACAGGGTTTTTAAATTATTATTTAAGAAAGAGGGTGCACTTATTGGGATTGCAATAAACAGGGAAGAGAGAATTAATCCTTTCTTAATTGGCTGCAAACATATTGAAAATCCATTCTTTTGTGCAGTACTTAGGCTTTGGGGGGGAAAAGCTCCCATTGACATCAGTGGAGGTTTCTGTCTAAGCCAAAGTTTAGTATAGAATTATGAGTGATAGCAACAATGAGTTGAATCTTGTTTCCAAACACAGTCTGGCATTGATAAATATCTATTTTCATCCTTACTATTACATTTTAAATATACAGATCATGCTGCATGACACAGATTTAACATATTGTCTGTTTGGGCTCTATCATGATATAACTAAACTATTGTGAATGCAATCTAAATCTTCTGCAGATCACAAGTTAACAGTGTTTCATCCAACAGGTTCTTAGAAACCTGTTTAAAAAGCAGCAGCCTTTCTTGATTTTCCTTATCCTCCATCCCAAAGGCAGTTTCATTAATTCCTCAGTTTTAACAGTAGCCAAAGTGACTAGGATATACAGTACTTGTATTAGAAAGGAATACTGTAAGATTGAAATCATGTGGTTGAAATGGACACAGTTGGATACGGAAGTTGTTTCTCAAACATAGCTTCCCAAATGATATAATGTCCCTGAAGTTACAACAGGTTAACCCCTTTTTTTTGGTTCCCACAGAAGCCTAATACAAGAGAAGCTGCTTTAATAAGTGGCAGTGAGGTGCTGCGTTCATGCTTGTGGTGAGCTCTGTAGCATTTCTTCTAACTCATTTTCAAAATATACACAGCCCTGATCTCCATTGTTTCCATGATTAACTCTTGCAATCACTGTACAGGTATTTTTATTTATTTATTTATTTATTTATTTATTTATTTATTTATTTAGCATATTTATAGTCCTCGCTTAACGACCATTCGTTCAGCAACCATTTAGAAGTTATGACAGTGCTGAGTGAATGGTTGTTATGCCTGGTCCCTGAAGTTACAGCTCTTGCAGGACCCCCACAATCACATGATCAAAATTGGGTGCTTGGCAGCCCACCTGCACTTACAACCGCAGGGGTGTTTCAACTTCCTCTCTATCCCCCCCATCTCTAACCTTTTGGTTGCCCTGGGCTCTGCATGCCCAGGGCATGCCCAGCCTGGCCTTTTCTGAGATATCTGCTGGATGCACCAGGCCTTCTTCCTGAGGCACGTGTGGCCTTATCCAAACTGCGTGCGGCTTTCATGCAAGGCTTTGGAAGGCTTCAAAGCCTCATGAGAAGGCCACACATGATTTGGACAAGGTAACAGGGCGAGCGGAACCCAAGATGACCAAAACAGCAGAGATGGGAGGGAGATAGGTGGGTGGGGAGAGTTGAAGAGGAGGCAGTCCCTTACCTTACCAAGGCTCAGGACTGGGACGGACTAAGCTGGGAATGGCTTGGATTGGGGTGGGTCCTTGGCTAACAACTGGTGGGATTTGGTTAATGACAGCAATGGGGACGACTGGGACTGCCATCACTAAGCGATGCAGTCACATGACATTGCGCTTTACGACCGCATTGCTTAGTGATGGAAATTTTGGTCCCAATTATCGTCGTAACTTGAGGACTATCTGTATTGGACACATAGGCACAAAGAAACAACATTTCTAGAATAAACCCGAGCAGGAGATAATATGGACATAGATACCTCAAAGACATCTATCAAATAAGGTTCATTCTGGAATATTGGCTTATTGTCATTCCGGTCAGTTACAATGATGGTAATTTTTTTAGAGGCCTGTTGATAAAAAAGAAAGGGTAGAAACTTAATGATATAAGAGGCTAAATGGAAGGGCTTCAGCATTCATGTATAGAAAGGGCTGAACTGTAGAGATATGGTAACCACATACAAGGCAGATCAGATCCTGGGCCCTGAAGAGTGTAATGGAAACAAGACTCTGCTAGCCAGCAGAATAAAAGGCAAAACTCCAGTAGTCACCATATAAAAATGTAATCATCAGTGTCATCATAATCAACAATAGCAGTTGCAGCTTAGCAGATTAATGGATAAGAAAAACTGCAACCACAGCAACCACAGAAATGTCTTCAGCACAGCTGTTACATCTGATTTTGCATTTGGATATCTAACAAAGTTGTGTTGAGTCTTTTCTCAATTTTTAAACTAATTTTAATTGACCTCAGTGGCTCTAATGAAAGAGTAACTTGCTCAAACTGTGCTGTGGCTCCTAACTGAGCACTGGGGTAGCAAACAAACTTATCCATCCCACTCCCCCTCATAGGCGTGCTCCCATGGGTATTCTCTGTCCCATGTATCTCTCCAGACTTATCTTTCTCCCAAAAGATCTCTTCACTTACTGGTACACTGTGACCATCTGTTACAGTGGCATCAAGCAGGATCATTTTTATTTGCTGAAAAGAAAGTGCAGAGCAGAAGTACTTTGATAAAGATATACCAACATGATTATCATACTTTGGTTTTAACATGGTTTGATAAATAAATCATAATGGTTGCATTCACACATAATGCTAAGTCAAAACAGACAAATCACATTATGACTTGAAATGATGGATGAACCAGACCATATCTCTTATTAATACTTTCTCCCCAAGGACAGATTATCTGAAATGCCTCATTTATGAATCATTGATGTCCTTAACCATAGTCTACTAATCCCTTCCCATCTTTTCTACAAGCTATTCCAGATATAGTAGGTCCAATGAGTCAGTTATGCCCTGATTTATTTAAGCCAGTACGTTTCTTTCAGACCAAATTTACAGATCACTGTAGGCTAACAAACTCCGGTAGCTAATTATCATATCTTTTTAGTAAGCTTTCCTTATTTTCTAAAATAAAAGTCTCTACCAGCCGTTGAAGAGAGATTAAAAAAACTAACCAATAGTCTGTTTCCAGTGCTTTGTATCTTTATTGAGTCTGAATCAATTGGGTAACTTCTGGTATAAAAAAGATCTCATGAAGACACCAATTTTTTAAAAAGGACCTGTGTGAGATGTGAGTAATTGTGGGCCAATTACCTTAATGTCTCTTCTGGGCAAATTAGAGGAAATGGTAATCCAAGAAAAAAAAAAGGATGAATATTAACCAAATAACCAATGTATTTTAATTTAAATGAGTCAAAAGAAACGCACATTGGGGCAAACTCCTAACTTCACATATACACTTGTGGTGTCTGAGCTGTCTGTAAGTAACCAGGGAAAAGTTCTTAGGTCACAACAGACAATTCAACAAAGACAGCTGTGAAAGAGACAAATTCTGTGTCAGGGATCATTAGAAGGGGATTGTAAATAAAACAAAACAGAGTAATGTCCTTACACAAATCTATGATATGTATCTGCATAATTCTGGCTGCCACATTTGAAAAAGGATATAGCAAAGCTGCAAAAAGGGCAGCCAAAATGATCAGAACAGGGGGCTTGAATATCTTTCTTATGAGAAAAAGCTAGAACATTTGGAGCTTTTTAGCTCAGAAAAGGGTGACTTGGAGGTGGACATGATCAAAGTATGTAACTTCATGCATGGTCTGGAGAAAAACAACAGACATTTTTCTCTTCTCAGAACATTAGGATCAGGGGTCATCCAATTAAGTGGAATGGAATGTAATTTAGAACAAAAGAAATCACATTGTTGCGCCACACATAGTTAATCTGTGTGATGATAGTCACTAACTTGGATGGCTCTAAAAGGAGGCTGGATAAATGGAGGACAGATCTATTGAGGGCTCTTAGTCTAACGTGAGTTAATGTCTAATTCAGGGGTAGATAAAAGCAGATCTGGATGTATTGATAGGGTTGTGGAAAATTCAGAACTACAGAGCACAACACTGAAGAGAAGAAACCATGTTTATTGTAAGAAAGAGGGGCGCAAACAATGGGAAGGCAAATATTTTTATAGAAGTTGAGAACTACAAGGTGGGAAACTTGATTTGCTGGCAACTTTTCGGGAAACTAGGAAGGCCCTTGTCTGTGTACCTAGGGTTATGTTCTGATTGTTTTTTTCAGTGTGATTTTTTTCCCTTTTATTATAATGTTATAAATCTTGATACACTGTATTATTTCAATGCAGATTTTAATGCAATAAAAATTATGTAATAGGATTAAGATTATGAACAGTCTATTATTTAGAAAGCTTAAAGTATTGAAAATAAGAAGAAAAAGGTAAAAAGTCTATCAATATCAATAGCATTTTAGGATGTCAATATTGCAAGCATAAAATTATTTAACTTTTCATCCAAAATTGAGTATAACATAAAAAAAGAACTGCTGCATTTCATATCAAAGTAGTAGTTATGTGACAATACTTTTGGTCTGAAACTAATTACTTAATATTAAGATCTCCACTGTATCATTACTCTCTCTCTCTCTCTCTCTCTCTCTCTGTGGAAATAAGAGATAGAGGAAGCAAATTTAACAAAAATTAAAATACCTGAAAAGTAGAAAAAAGAGGGAAAAAAGTAATAATGATGATAATAATAACAAAAATAACAAAAAACAAACTATTGATTTCTGACTTCCCTCTTTTTATACATTTGCTAATTTGCAATATTAGTAAATATTCAGGCCCCCTTAAAAGCTATACCACAAGTGATTGTCTTTATCACACTGTGTGATATGTAGTATGGATGAGTTATTTGTATTGTAAGGCAAAACAGGCCTTTCAGGAGCAGAGTTGGGGGAGTCCCTTGTTCAGGAGATGGAAGTTGAGGTAATCAGGGGTGTGCCCCTGACTGAGGGCAGAACCTTGTGGTTTCTCTGTGTTGCAATTTCGTTCTTAGGACTGCTGTTGAGCTATTCCAGCGTTTCTCAACCTTGACAACTTTAAGACTTGTGGACTTCAACTCTCAGAATTCCCCAGCCAACTTCTTTACAACATTTTTCTCCCACCTACAGTATCTTTCACTTGAATGGGGAAAGGGTTTATGAATATGACCTTCATGGCTGTCCACCATTTATTTCCTTTAATGATGGGAATTATTTTTTTTTTTGCGGGAATTTCTGCAGCTCTTCTTCCAGTTTTTTATAGTCATCCTCAATA